GCCCTCATGACCAGGCCTCTCACCTGACCTCGACTAGGCTTCCTCAAGAGTTCAGAGACAGTCCTCATTTTCTTGGACTAATGCTCTCCTACAACTTGGCATCCTTTGAATCTTCCCAAGTCATGATCTTGCAATACATAAATGATATACTGTTATGTACTCCCTCAGAAGAGCTCCCTAGCCAAGGCAGCCATGCCCTGCTGATTTTCTAGCAGAGAGAGGTTATAAAATCTCTAGGTCTAAGACACAACTGTACAGGCTTGAGGTAAAATACTTGGACCTTATCATATCTAAGGGAATGTGAAGGCTTAGAGGAAGAAAATTAAACCAATACTTTCCTTCCTGCACCCCTAGACTCTAAAACAACTAAGGGGATTACAAGGAATTATAGGCTTTTGTCACCTTTGGATAACAGGGTATGGTGAGGTCACATGACCCCTCTATCAGCTTATAAAGGAAGCCCAAAAGACAGAGACCTATATTTTAACCTAGGAACCTGATTCCCAAGCTGCATTCCAGAAGCTTAAGCCAATGCTTTTAAATGCCCTGGCACTGAGTCTACTGCCAGGACGCCATTTCTAGCTGTCCGTTGAAAGGTGGGGCATGGCTTTGAGAGTGCTTATCCGGGATTGAAAACCTGTTCAGATGCCTGTATGCTGTCTGAATCATGAATCAGACATCCTAACAGCAGCACAAGGGGGTACTTGTGCAACTGTAAAAGCTGAATGTTGCGTGTGCATTCCTGATCCTTCTGTTAGTATCTCAATGGCTGTCAAGATATTAAATGACAGGTTACTGCCATGTCAGATTCTAAAATTCCCTGGACCTTCTTCTTACTTTCTTTGTGGGAGGCTATTACTGGCTCTTCTGGTGAAAATAATTGTCAGTTGTGTTTGCAACAATCTTGTTGATATTATTTGGCCCTTACATCTTAATTGTTTCCTTGGCCTTGTGTCCTCCAGGCTTAAAGCTACATGCCTACCCAAGACAAGAACACCTGGCATCTATTAGGGCCTTTAGATAGATCCGCTGTGGGATATCTCTGATTGCCAGTCACTATTATGACTTTCTTCAGCCAGAAGTAGCCAGACTGGTCACTGCCCCCTCCCTCCTCATGGGTACCTTAGGGGTACCTCTTTGGGGGAGGGGCAGATATTGTAGACAGTTAAGCTAAGTAAAAAGTCATAGGCAGTCAGACAGGGCTAGGCACTCAAGAGAGCCAATACAGAGAATAAGAATACAATACAACTGTGGCTGGAGGCGCATCTGTTGAAGACCTCATGATTTTGCTCTACAAAGCTTCCTTTGAAAAGTGAGCCCATGGACAACCCACTTTCAGGTCACTTCTCATCTCTCAGGAGCTCTTTCTCAATAATGTTTTCCTACTTTTAACCTCTGTTGTTCCTTAGAATTCGTTCCTCGATTTTGGGGAACATGAACTCAGCCTATCTGACATCTAGCAGGTTGGGAGTTCTATCATTTCTCCTTTTACACTGCCACCCTTAGGCCCTTGTCCTGGCCACCATTGGTCCCATGTCCAGCAACCCTGTAGTGTCTAAACTTAACTCTGTCTCCTAGTTGCATCTTCCCCCAGGGGAAGACTTCAGCCAGCCTCACCCATGCTACCACCTCCCTCTGTACCACCACAGTGCTCTGCTCCTCCACCCTCTCAGGCTCTACTAAGTCAGAACTCTTCCTTGACTGTACCCCCTTCCAGTCTCTAGCCTCCTCCCTTTGTCCTAGAGGGTCAGGTTTCTCCTCCAGGTCCCTTCTGCAGCTGGACCTCCAGCTTGGCCCCGTCAGGGGCCCCCATGAAAGCCTTCACTGCATGACCTCTCCATCCACTGCACCTGCTCCATTCCAAACTATGGGACAGCAGAAGTCTGACTGTGTATCCAGCCAACCGGACATCACTAGAGATGGACATAATGGTGCCAATCACATTTGTGGTCCATAACTTCAAGTGGGCCTTAAGGTTTTACATCTGTAAGCTTCCTTTGAATCAATTCATAGCAACCCCTATCTCTCTCCCAAGCACACTATTAAATGCTTGACCATAGTCTGCATATGGCTCCAATTCCTAATCAACCACAACAGTAAAAACCATCAGTTTCCTTCTCAACTTCCAGCACCTGCCAGCTTCCATGAGAGGTCCTCTCGGACCACCCTGCCTCCCTCGACCCTCTGGTCTTGTCTCTCCCGGCCTTATTCCTGCGTTTTCCACACCTCTGGGTCCCCTCCCCTCTCCTCCTCACATAGATGCTTGCACAGCTTCCCACAGCTGGTTTGTGTCCAAGTGCCACATGTCCTCACCCTCTCTCATCCCAACGCACAGCATGGACAATGGTCCCCTCCCCTGACAGGGCGTCCTCAGCACACTGTGATCGGTTCTGCCCCTGAAGGCCCTGTGATTCCCAGGAGGGGCTGGATGTCTAATACTTACAGAGCCTTGTCCTACGTGTCCTAGCCCTAAAGTAGCACAAGCATGCAAGCCTAGGCCTCAGGATGTTTGGAAACAGGCTAAGTGTGCCCTGGTCTAGAGTGCTCATGTGTTTGTATATGTGCCTCCATGTCTGTGTGTGCATACAGTGTGTGTGTACTCATGTATCTCTGTGCATGCATGCATGTCTGTGTGCGCATACACCTGTGTGGGCATGCACATATGTCTCTGTATGTATCTATGTGCACATGCACTGTGTGCATGTGTATCTGTATGTGTATGTGTGTGCATGCATGCGTATCTCCGTGTGTGCACATAACTGTGTCTGTGTGCATGTGTGCGACGAGGCAGCCGTAGGCAGCTTCAGCTGCTCCCTTGTTCCCTCGGGCCTGCTGTGATGGGTCAGCGGCAATCACATTGGAGCCACATCAGTCGGGCAATGACTTAGCTCCTATTTGATCACTGCCACATTTCCCAAATCCAATAAGACATGAGGGTTGATCACACTTGAATCTGGGACCACCCTCAAAGAACGCTGACCAACCACACATCAGGACACAGGAACCATGACACAGCATCCCGCCTGGTTCAGGCCAACAGTAACAGCAGAGGTGAGTTCCAGCTTCCATCAGCCTTTATCTCTCCCAGGGTCTCACCTCAGGGGCATCTCTGACAGACAGTGATGGGAGGAGAGCCAACAGGTGTGCCAGGTGTGTCTCCCATGGGCTATAGACACGACTGCAGCCTCAGCCTCTTCCCCTGGACAAGGCCACAGCCACGGGAGAAGTGGAGGGACACTCGCAGCCTCTCCCATCAGCTATGGGGTATCAACTCTCCACGGTGATGGAGGAAGGTGGTCTGGGGATCCTAGGGCTCAGCCCATAAGAAACACATGCTGGAGACAAGTCCCAGCTTCCCTATTTTTAACATGTATGGAAATGGAGTGTTTCAGAGAAGTCTGCGTTTGAACCTAGATTGGATACACTCTGACTCCATCACAGGCTCATAAACAGTGAGCAGTGCAGTCAACATCTTGCTTCTTAGTGCTCGGGCTCCAGACAAGGAGCTCCTTGTCCCTCTCTTCCTCTATTGCATCACTGACACCAATCTTCAACGCCAAGCAAATGTCACTCTGCATCTCTCTTCCTCTCCATGTCCTGAGATCCCAGGACCAACATTTCCTGAGGTTGACATGCTGTGGACTGTCATCTCAAGGGTGATTTTGACACATGGGAACCAAAGTCATTGTTTCCTTATGAAGGGAGGCCGTGTACAGCAAGAGCAAGCCAGGGCGGGGAGATGGGGCCCACGTTTCTGAGGCTAACTCCTCTTCAGGAACAAAGCATTCCCTGCCGTGAAGACACATCCTCAAAAACGGGGGATGCCGGGCCAGGTCCTGTCTGCACTGAGGGAGAACAGTATGTGCTTTTGTTGCTGAAACTCATGTCTTGTTTTGATTAGAAACCTGAAGGCCATTAGTGATTGCAATGAAGCCCATCCCCTCTCTCCTGTTTCCCCAAAGGGAAGCCAGAAAGTGGACAGACACATTCCTGGGGGAAAAATTTATGGAATGACAAGAAGTTGGCTACGGAATCCCTGAAGAGAGTAATAAAGGTCATCCTTCTTGGACTTGTGGGGAAATGTGCTTAATTCACCACCATTTTGGTTATGACTGAAAGAAGCCAAAACCCCAAACCAACTGCCTGGAGAGGGCAGACAGGTTGCTCAGTGGGCCCAGGGCTCAGTGTGGACTCGGGTCTCTTCAGCAAGTGAGGCAGTCAGTGCAAGCCGTGTGGCACAGCACCGCAGGGAAGCAAGCACAGCTGTGGCATGGTTTCAAGTTCACCAACAACAAGGCTCAGTGCTAAGAGGAAGGTCAAGGCCCTCCCATGAGCCGTGGCTGTACGTTCTGCTAAGAGTGACAGCAGGGCTTGTGTCTTCCCTAGGACACCACCATGCTTCCTCCCATACCGTAAACAAAACAGACAACAAGGGAGAAAAGAGCCATGGGGCTGTGTCCACCTTATCCCTTGTGTCCCAAGCATCTATAATTAATACCACTGGCATCTACAGCCCAGGATGCCTCTGCAAGAAGAACCTAAGACCCAGCGCGCGAGGCTGTCACCCAGCCAGGGACTGATGCAGCTCTAAGGAACTCAAAGCCCAGCTCTGTGTCCTGCATCCTGAGTGGACAGGACATCTCTCACATTTCTCTTTATTTTCCATGGCACAAAGAAGACTCATCTTGGTTTTTCCTAAACTTGAACTCCAGGTCTGTCTTTTTAAAAGGAATCAGAACAGTGCTAGTCATTGTTTAACTTAAAAAGCAAAGAGGATTAAGTACTCATTACTTAACCTGTGGTCACTCAGGGTGACACCTGGCAGGACTGCTCAGAGGTGGCTGCCACTGAGCTGATCACCAGCACAGGATGAGCAATGAACCAGAGGCCCAGCTACGGGCAGTGGGCCTTCCAATGACCAGAGACAATAAGACTCTGAAATCCAGAGAGGTGATTAGTAACTATCGACTTCTTTAATGAAAGTGAAAAAAAAAACTCACCTTGAAAATTTACTGGGCCCTTCACCATCTTCATCATCGAAATCCATTCTGCAAAGTCAAGGTCACAGGTGAGCACAGGGAATGCGCAGACAGAACTGGGGAACAAGGGAGCTCTGGCCCCGCGACCTGCTGGCCAACACTCCCAATATTTTGGCAGTGCTAAGGGCAAGAACTACATCGTCATCACTCAGCTTCAAGACAGGGAAGGTCTTCGGTGCGAGCACTGGCCGTCCTGTGGTTGTGTGTACCTAGGTATCCACCACCCCACCTGCCTGAATCCTGCCCAGATGCCAAAGGAGGCTGAGGCTGCTGCACGTCGGAGAGGCGGGTGCCCCTTCTCCTCCCATCTCCAGGAAACCTGCTCCCCTCTGCATCTTACTGCACACTGACACTTTCCTTCTTACATTTCATTTTTACATACTTTAACAGACCAGAAAAGCTTAACAGGCTTTAAAAATGAGAAGATTTAAGGGTGAGGAAGAGGTAACAAGGACAAGCAAAGATTCTACTGGTGTTCTTGTGCTGCTGGAAACTTGGCGGGTCTTGAATCCTGGTGAAGGACATTTAAGGTCTGTGTCCTATAACGTCCAGGACCAAACTCACGGGCAACATGGCTGTCTGTGGCCTGAGTCACTCGGGCTGGGCATCTGCTTGCTAAAGCGCACCAGGTGATCACTTCGCTTTCTACTTGCCTGGGCCTCCCAGTGTACACATTATACAAAGTCTAGGGGGAGGTTCGTTTAGCTAAAGATCCAAACTCTGCTTCTTACTTGCACTAAGCCTCTCTGACGTCATCTAATATTAGCGCTGCCGGTATTGGGCCAGAGCGGGGACTTCATTGGCATCAGATGTACCCCGCGTCTTTGAGGAAAGACAGTTGCTTTGGTTCTCCTGGACATCCAGGGTGTGAGGGTTCCTGATGGGCTGTGGGGGACCAATCCCAAGGGATCCAAGCAGGAAGCAATGTGCCTTCCCTGACTGAGAAACGTCGATCTGAGCAGCTCACTGTAGGAATGGAAAGCCCACCACTGAGACAGCTCTGGTGTCAGTGAGCCCACCCAACAGGCATGAGGACAGGGCTTGAGGGGCCAAAAGGATGGGGGAGGCACAGTCACCAAGGCTGCCAGAACATGGTAGGTGGCAGAGGAGGAGCCCCTGCTCTGTGTGCAAGCACCCTACTAGGCCCTTAGGAAACAAACCACACACACACACACACACCAGGTTCTGGGTAACTGAGGAGACCTCAGGACTGGGACAGGTGAGGCAAAGGAGTATTTTCCTTTCTAAAAAAATAGTATCTTTTGCTTGTCTGTGTTTTGTTAAATGTGTGGTGCTGCCAGAGTTCTAACCTGGGCATGAGTTGGTCAGCACCAACTGATGGGACCTTGTCTATTTGGACCCAGGGTTCCGAGACATGGGTGTGGTCTTAACTGCTCAGAATAACAACAAAAGCAGTCAGAGAGTTGGAAAAGATGGCTGGAATGATAACAGAAACAGCTCTGCACAAGGGCAGTGGGCAGGGAAGGGGAAGAACAGGAGAAGCCACCTCCACCCCCAGACATGCAGCTGCTGGCTCAGGCGTTGGCCACAGCGTTACCTGTGTTACAGACAAGGGAGAGATGAGCACATGAATTTTTAAGTGAAGCAAATCCATCAGTATTTCACATAATTACCAAGCCCTCACCTGGCCTTCCTGGAAATTACATCTGGGAGGTAACCCCAAAACAAGCTAAGCAAATCCGTGGGCGGTCCACCCACCGCGGAGTCACACTGCCACCCCGTGTTCATAGTGAGGAAGAGCAATTCTTCTGCCCATATTAGAAACACTTCAGTACTACAAAACAGCAGCGCTGTCAAAATTCCAAAGCATTCATACAAGTATTTAACAAAGCCTCCAGTGGGCATAGATGTATGATTATTCCTCCCAGCTCAAGGTGATCGCAAGTGAAACCATCAGGCTCCTGTAATCCTCCATTGTTGGCCTGCACAGCCTCAGGGTGCTCAGAGTGACCGACTGTCCCCATTTCCCAGGAACTGGAGAGATCCTAGAGTCCATGACATCAGTGGACAGTTGGCCACCTCATTTTAGCAGAGTCATATGGGGAAATGTGCTGTGTGTAGGGTTCCCACGTTGGCCAGGTCAGGATAAAAGAAGGAGACAGCTCTGGTCTGCACCCAGGGAAGTCTGAGGTCCACCAGGAACCTGGGAACCAGGATTTGTCTAAGAAAAATTAGGAACTGGAATCTCTGCTGCCCATGTACGTGTGCAACCCCATATGTGCAGCAGCAGATTTAGTACATGGGAAAGCACAACAGGGGAGCCAAGCCAGAGATACATCAGGATGCACTTGATGGTCAAATCCGAACAATCGCTCACCCCACCCCAAAAATATCTCACTGGCTCATCTGCAACACAGTCAAACAAATGCAGCCAAGGCGTGGTCATGTAGACCTGCAATCCCAGCATTTAGGAGGCTGAGGGAGGAGGACTGCAAGTTTGAGCTGAGCCTGGGCAATTTAGTGACCTAGTGAGACCCTGTCTAAAAAGAAAAAAAAAAAAAAACCACATGATCCAAGGATGAGGTCAGTGTGAAGGCCTTGAATTCAATCCCCATTAGGGAGAGGTAGGAGTAGGGGGTGCAAATCCAAGGACACAAGGTATTTCTCAGAGCCACACTTGCCAAGACCTACCTGTGGGTCTCTGTCACTGTGCCCAGCTCTGTTTTAAATATGCTTCCAATAAGCTCTGCTTATTTCTTCTGCTATAAAAAGCTTAAATAAATCATCCTTTGTTTTATGTCTTTTATGTGTCTCTACTATACTAAAGCATCTGGATAATAAAAAGGAAATGAAAATGGACTCCCAGCCCTATTGTATCCACATTAAAGAACTTGGGACAGTGAGTGGGTGACATAAGAGCACTTGCCAGGTGAGCTGGAGCCCGGATCTCCCATCCTGTCAAGAGCTGCTGGAGCTTCATAACAGATAGGACAGGCACTTCTAAGCATGCTGTTAGTTACATGTGAGGGATGTCAATATCCTACAGCAGTTGTGCAATAATAACCGGGCCCCATCAAAACTGAGTCATTAGGCCAGGTCCCCTCAGGCTCTAAAGAGAAGGGAAAAAGCCATGCCCCTTAGATAGATCTAGACCCTCATGGCCTGCCAACAAAACCAGGTAGTGTGTGAAGAATATGCTACCAAGAGTCTGGGCCCCCAGCCTGGGGACACAAATGTCAGCCTAGTGACACCTGCTTAAGTAAAGCTGCCCACAGCATAGGTGGCCCTGATCTGTAGCCATACACAGTCTGTCCTTCAGACAGCACAGGGCTCCAGCGCTGTGCAAGCGACTGGTACAGCCCTGCCCTCAGCCTCAACCTACATCCCCCACAGAGGGTGCCATGCTACCGCTCCACCAACACCTCCTCCCTCAGCCTCCTAAGTGCTGGGATTGCAGGTCTACATGACCATGCCTTCGCTGCATTTGTTTGACTGTGTTGCCGATGAGCCAGTGAGATATTTTTGGGGTGGGGTTTGCCCTATGACCACCCCTCACTGGGACCAGGAAAGCGATCATGAGAGCACACCTGAGTGACATGCTGCAGCCCATTTTTCCTCACAAGGAATTACGGTGGGAAGAATCTGAGCCCTCAGACCCCCGCCCTGTGTCCTAGCCACCAGGAGAGGTTGTGGCTCACTAGGACACTTACAGCAGAGGCCAGTAGTGTGCAGAAAGGCTCTGGCTCTGGGCCCTTGGCAGCCAGGGGTGGCCAGGGGGACCCAAAGCCCTCAAGGGTCAGTTCTACCTGGCTTTGATACACTACCCAGGACAGTGATTGTCCTGGAAAGTTGAGTCATCTCTCTACCAGAAAACCAGGCCATAGGGCAAAGGCCCAGCAAGGAGCTCGGCAGGAGTAGGAGACCCCTTTTCTCTCCCTGCATCTCCCCAAGTGTGCCCCACAATTGTGAGGAGAAGGTGGGGTTGGTGTCCACATGCTAATGAGATAGCAGCGGTGCAGGGGTTACCTGCTTTGTGAGGCCCATGGCCCCCACTGGTATCTCCTGTGCCCTAAGGTAAGTGTTTGGGAAGTAGCTGAGACTGTCATCTAGGGCTCCACCACAGCAGTGGGGAACCTGATTACAGAGCTCCAGCAGCACATATGAAAACGCCAGATGCAAGAATTAATATGGAAGCAGCTCTGCAAATGCAGCCGTCCCTGTACTTGGACATGGAGTGAGGCACTAAGTCACTCAGGCTTGCAAATGGAGCCTTGATGAACATGCTCCTCATCTGCCTGGGAGAGGGTGAGACCCAGAATGAGGACAGGGAGGACGGGCTTCTTGGGGAAGGTCAAGGTCAGAGGCTCCAGACTGGCCCTCCCTGTGGGTGCTGTGACGCAGGTGCTCCCAACCCCCTCCACCTCTCAGTTCTTTTGATGTTTTGCCTCCTTGCTCCAGGTGGACAGGAACCCTCCACTCTGCCTCAGCCCCTTGCAACCAGGCCTTGTGCACAGGCTGAGCTGCAGGGGAAGGAGTGGCTTCCCCGCCTGCAAGTGAGAGCACACAGCACTTAAAATAATTTTATAAGATCTGAAATTGTAAAAGCTCATGTACTGACACCATACCACACACATACTTTTAACAACCCAGAGTGTGCCAAGCTCAGCTCTTAGTAAGAATAGCCAGTTAGAATAAGAAATGTGCTTCATACTTGTCCTGTATTCCAGCTTAGCTCTGCTGGGCACCAGCACTGCCTGTGTTGGCTCTGCTGGCCCCACTGTAGGGAGGTGACAGTGTGGACAGAGGACAGGTGCACAGGTACCAGAGGGAGTGCGCTGGGTCAAAGCACACTGGCCTGACCACAGGGCTCCGTTCCACAGCCTTCTGAACCCTCTCAGTGACCATGAATTCTCAGAGCCTCCTTCAAAGATGATAGAGTACACATCAGCTATTCATCACTACAATTCCTGGCAGCTTTTGCATCCCAGCCTTCTTCCACCCCAGGCCCTGATGACTGCCTTTCTCCCACCTCTGTCCCCTTTAAGAATCACACTGGTTTTAAAATCTCCCAAGCTGAAAATCTGAGCTACCTGAAGGCAGGCCCCGAGGCATACTGGGTGGTAAAGCACCTTCCCATGCCCTGGGCCCCACGGGCCCCAAGGGCTCGGGCTGTGAGAAGAGTGTTCTGCAGGACCTGAACAGCTGTAGTCCCAGGAGCCACGCGTCATCAGAAATCACATTAAAGGAGCAAAATGACTCAACTATACAAGAAACCGTGTTTATCAAACACATCATTAAAAATGAAGTTGGTGGGGAACCAGGCTGAGCAGTACATTGAGCCTGACAATGCCAGTTCTGCTTCTCCTGCAGGAGTCTGGTGCTCATTTTTGTTTTAATTCTCTGTGCAGAGACGAACATTATCCAGCAGTAGATGTGGCTTTCGCTTCCAGCTGCCCAAGAGCAGCTCTTCCTACTGCTCTTCTAGCCCTGTCAGAGCCAGCACACTTGACAGCACTTAGCAGCCATGCAGCGGAACCGCATCCTACGAAAGCCAGACCTCTGGTGCTTCAGTCTGTGAAAAGCTGGGCGTGCCTCAGAAAGGGAGGGGGTCCAGGGTGCAGGCTTTCCAGCCCAGGGCTTAAACTCAGCTGCATAGCAGGGCCAGAGTGCCCAGGGTTAGGGGTGAATCCCTCCCCTCAGAGTCACGGAGCACAAACACAAGCAAACACAAGTCCCAGGTAGGTGCCACGGCCTGAGTCCCAGGTGGGTGCCAACGCACCAACACTTCAAAGTAAATCATGAGCCTGCTTAGGAATCTTGCAAAATCTAAACAGGGTACCAACTGCTGAGTCTTTATTCTGCAGGAAAGGGTGCGGCAGCAAGCAGAAACACTGAAACGACACCCAGGATTTGGAGGCAGATTCATTTACATTGACAGGCACTGATGGAGATCCTGCCCAGGATATCAGGCCCAGATCGCTGGGGGTCTAGGGCTTCTATGTGATGCAAAAGAGCACACAGGCAGGATGGAACAGCCTGGCAGTTCTTCTGATTAGCTAGCAGGGTGAGATCATCAATTACAAGGGAAGATTAATGATCATCAGATCATGAAGGTTGGGACAATGGTACAACCAGGCATCCTGTGTGTTTGGTTACACACTCATGGTTACAGGGGTCAGAAAGTAATTACAAAGCCATAAAGCAGTTACTGGACTAGGCAGTTTCAAAAGAACAAAGTTCTAAAAAGAACTATTTTTCTTTTACAGTCTTTCCCTTTCAAAGGAAAAACAATATTTTCCTAACAGGTCAAGAGCATTGCTCAACACTGACTAAGGCCAATTCCTGGAACCTCGGAGGCTGCTTACCCGGAACGTCGCTTTCCTCCGCGGGCAGGCATGGCCCCGGCCATCCTCACCTGTCCAGAGGCCGCCATGGGGGCGACAGGCAACGTCACGGAGCCAGGTATGTCAGAAGCCATTTCTGGAAGTCAACAAAAACAAGAGGTTTTGTCAAGCTCAGGAAAACCCAGCAACAAGCGAGAAAGCTGCACTGCGTGGTGGGGTGCAAGCCCAGGGTGCCACAGAGGCTGGGCCATCAGCCGGCATGGGGCTCGTGTGAGTCCTTCCTCCCTCTCTGGGCACCCCTTTCTCTTCTGGAAAGGACCCTTCATCCCACACTTAGTGCTCAAATCAACAGTAAAAGGAACCAGTGCCACTTCCCTCAGGGACTCCGGCCTCAGGTCACCTGGAAGCAGGTAAGATGGCTAGGCACCCAGACAGCACAGGGAGTCCTTGGGGGAGCTGCTGCTGCTACCAAGCCCTGACCCACAACGGTGTCACCTCCCAGGGTCACAGCCCCACAACAGCACTGCCAAGGCCCTGTCACGTCCCAACGCTGTGCTCAGGGAGAAAGCCTGTCCCCACCCAAGTGTGGGCTCAGAAGCCCTGCCTGGCTCCCCATACACAACAAGGATGGCGTGCCTGGTGCCCTGAAGGCATCAAGCCAGGCAGCCAGGCGAGCCAGAACCACACGGGGCTCAGGCCCCTGACTCTACCTCCCCAAATGATAAATACTAAAGAAGAAGGTGACCCAGAGGAGGGCACATTTTCTGTACATCCTGGCAACAGCGTCCACACTACATGCTTCCGGAAGCTCCTTAAGGCCGTGTGAGGCATCCTGGTTTCCAGGGAGCTACACTAGTAGAGATGGGGACATGGTGCTGCGAGCAGAGATCAGTGCCCAGGCTGCCGGGGGAGAGGCGTGCTGCGTGGCTTCTGCCCTGCCCTCCCCGCACAGCAGAGTCACAGCACAGCTGTCCACAGTGAGGTCCAAAGACACCATGGCTAATAAACACAAGCGAAGGTCAGCCCAAAGTCTTCCACTCACAGCCCCTGGAGGAGTTCTCCAACACTAATAAACAAAACCCAAACTCAGCCTCTGCAGTGTTCACAGAGCTCTGAAGACTGTTGTTTTTAACCACTGCACACAATTAGTGCCCAAGGAAAAATGTCCCCCTTCACAATCCTCTCCCTGTAGGCCAGGACCATAAGGGGCTTGTGACAGCTGCTCAGTGGGAACAGTGTGACCTCACAGCTTTATCATTATGTTTCTATATTTTTTCTTACACGGAGGTTAAAACAAATGAAGATCCAAAGATGAAGAGCACAATCCCTGCTAGAATAAACAGGAGGGGAAACGAAAGCCACCGCTTCTGAAGGAACAGCAGTCCCCCCAGGTCATCCAGGGAAAAGAGTCCCATGGAGTCAAACCCTGGAGCTTTCCTGGAGAAACCTCTCTCTTTCCTGGAGAGACCAACCTCCACTAAACATGTACCAAGAAGTCCTTTATAGTTTAATCAATTAACTCAGTGTATCAAAAATGTCTCCAACTGTAGATACTTAAAATTTATTACCTGCTGAGCTAAAGTTCCACACAACATTGGTTTCAGTATTTTGAGGTGGCCTTTCACCATGCAGTTCTTGCTGGCCTCAAACTACGTCCCCCAGACTAGTCTGGAACTTGAAGTGATCCTCCTGCCTCAGCCTCCTGAGTGCTGGGATTATGGGCATGAGATACCAAGCTTGGCAGTTTTAGTATTTTTAAGCCAACTTTTTCACCTTCACCCTTGGAGTTAAGAAAACTTCAGACTGCAATTGATTTCAGCAATCATCCGTACACTTAGAAAGGCTCAACCTTCTCGGTCCCAATTATACTCCAGGTCAGAGCTGGAAGGAAATAGATAGCATGGCAAACAGGATACCAAATTTTTTTTTTCGGTACCAGGGATTGAACTCAGGATCCTGTGCTTGCCAGGCAATCCAATTTTAATTTGGGGAAACAAAATTCACATTTGTTTTTGATATAAGCTGCAGAAAGTAGAGCTCTCCAAAACCTTACCTGGCAGAGCAATGGAGGAATGATACTGAGGATCCAATCCTCTCCTCAGACAGACACAGGGTGCAGGAGAAGGGTTAGGTGACCACAGCTGGCCAGGGGCAGCCCCCCATGGGGTCACCTCCATCTCTCTCGCCTGCTCCCTCAGTGTGCCTGCAGGGCCCACAGCTGGCCTCCTCCCATGCACCCCCATGCCTACCCCAGGCCTTCCAGCCAGGGACAAGCAGCGTGTAGGAGCTGACAGCGGACACAGGAGCACCTGCCTCGGGGGACTTTACAGTCTGTGATATAAAGAGCTCAGGGAGGGGCTGGTGAGATGGTTCAGTGGTCTAAAGCACCTACTTAGAACAGGCTTGGCAAAGCAAGGGGACCACGGTTCAATCCCCCAGCACCACATGCCAGCCAGCACCGCCCCCTGGTGGGCTGAGCTGGCTACACACACACACACACACACACACGCGTGCGCGCGCGCACACACACACACACACACACACACACACATAAATAAATAGATAAATAAATAAAATTTAAAAAAAAAAAAAGAGCTCAGGGAGAAGCGCAGTGTTCGCATGTGATCTCACGTGCTACGAGGAGGCCAGGGCTCTGGGACACAGAAGGGAAGCAAATGAGAATGCATAGATGTGAAAAAGATAGGACTCATGTGCGCACACGCACACACGAACACACACACACACACAGTCAGAGGGACAAAACAGGCGCTGTCAGGGGAAAAGCAGGTCTCCATGCCGCATGTCACGCAGTACTTCCTGAGGGCCAGCTGGCTCAGTCCTGTTGTTTCTTTCGTAAACTACATTTGTGGTGCTCTGCTCAGTCCTCTACTGAGACTCAGGGTAGCTCTCCTGCCTCTCTATGATCTCTTTCTTCCAACAAATTAGAGCAGTGTCATTCCTGAAAATATTTCACAATATTTTTTTCTGTTGGTTGTTTTTCATGTGGAAAGAGTGCTGAAGATATGAGCCAGGGTCTCAGGCATGCCCAGCAAGTGTTCTACCCCTGAGAAACGTCCCCACTTCTCAGGCTGATTTTTTTTAATAATAGGAAAGTTTTTAAGAGACAAGATCAATTGTCCCAATTCCATTCATTCAGAAGTCTTTTTCCCCCTAAGTTTTTCTTATGTTCCCTCAATCTATACTTTATATTTAAAAAGTGCCCACTTCTAGGCTATTTCTTGGTCAATTATCTACTTCTCTAGGCTTGCTCTGTTACATAGTACATTTCGTGTTGAAAGTTTTTCTCACTAACCTTTCCTCTCAGAATTCTTTGTACTTATTTCTAACACATTCTTTTATTTAAATTTTGATTTAGCTCAATTAAAATATAAAATTTAACACCCTTGAAATTTTTTTCCTTGAACCTATGAGTTTATTCTGAGGGAATGCTGTGACTTTAGACTACCATGAATTTCCTTCTTTTTTTTTCCTTTTTCTTTTTTCTTTTTTATTTGGTACAGAGTCTCGCTACGCAGCTGGGACTCACAGTGATGCTCCTATTTTCAGCCTCCCCAGCGCTGGGATTACAAGCACTTACCACTATGCTTGGTCTAACACTGTGAATTTTCAACCACTAATGTATGGCAATTGCTGAAAGGGCAATTGCTGTAATCCCAGCCTCCCCAGCGCTGGGATTACAAGCACTTACCACCATGCCCGGTCTAATACCGTGAATTTTCAATCACTAATGTATGGCAATTGCTGAAAGGGGTCGTGACTAAGTTATAAAGATTTTGTTTTCATCACCCCGGCTCCACAAGTTTCTTGTTTGGTTTACTTCTAGGCATTTTGTGTCACATCTGTGCTACGGTTGTACTCTTTTCCTGGATGGTCTTCTAACCAATAGGAGCTACAAAGATGGTACTGATGAGCTACTGATATGACCAGCAGCTCACACAGGCGCCGGCCCCCCTTTGCTGTTCTGGGTGTTGTCCCTGCCAAATACCCATGCCTATGTAGGGTCTCTTGGGTTATTATGTTTCCTGCCATTTCACTAAAAAAGTAAAAATAACTCTTGAGGATGACTAAGAACCCTTTATCTGATCATCAAATCTTTTATTTGTGCTAAAATTTTTCATGAAGTCCTCTGAATTTCCTAAGTTCCTCAGTGCTATTCATTGCCATATAATAATATTATGCTCCCCCTTCTGTGTAATTCCTGGTTTAATTTCTTTTTCATGTCTTATTTCATTGTCCACAATGTTCTGAGCAATAGTGAATAACAAAGGCCTGTGACGTCACAGCTTGAGCTCTTCCAGGCCACTAGAGTGCCCCAGACACTCTAGGCCAAAGGGCCATCTGTAAACGTTCATGACAACTGCCTTACACAATGGTTTTAAAAATTAGTCTAACACAGTGCCTGGAATAAAATAAATACTCAATGGACAGTAATTAAAAGTATGATGATAGCAAGGCTTCCATGGTCCTTGAGTTTAATGGGAAGGAGCCACAGGTTTAGGACAGATAATCTTTGGGCTGCCCAAGAAATCTATTCTGTGCCTGCTTTTTGAATTTATTTAAGAAATGGCTCTCTTATTTTTCTGAATGCCATGTTGATAACTAAAATAGTTATTCTAGATACTAAATAAATGAAAAAGAAGATGCAATCCATGAGGCAAAGGTTCACCTTAAAGGTTAAATGTGTTCTCTGACAGTTTGTTCTCTATCACCCTTGACAAAGGGAGCCTCATCTGCCATCAGGGGCCTCTCCTGGGACAGTGCCACCCACTTCACAAACCCCGCAGCTCTCCTCTAACTGGTGTCCACACAAGCAGAACCCTGGGATTCCAGGGGAGGTGGCCAGAGCAAGGTCCCTCACCAGGTCAGCAGTGACAGTCCCAAAGGCAGAGGCCTGGGACCAAGTGGACAGCAAAGCTGGAACTGATGGAGTCAGCCTGGGAGGAGCCTGCAGGATTACTCCGGGGAGAATCTCACACAGAAACAAAGAAAAGGACAACCAGGCCAGGGCACTGATGGAGGAAATCACTACAGGGTGACCATCTCAATCTCTACAAAGAGAACACCTCAGGTCCCAACAGAGTGAGCAGTGGCTGCAGTCACACCTGGAAGCTGGGG